TGCCCCCCCCCCCGCCCTTTCCTTTTCTTTTTTTCATGAAGGGTGTTCAGGAGGGGGCAGTCCTCTCTGTGAAAGAAAGGACGTGCTCTGAAATTCAAACAAGTTCGCCAGGTCTTTTGTTGGACTTGAACTGAGGAGGCATTGTTCCTCTATTGGCGTGGACTAGCCCCAAGTTCCCAGACCAGGTTACGGATTGACTGCGGTAATGAATTTGCTCCGAGCGCTTCTGCCCAACACGTTTTGACTGACGGAAAGCAATGGCCATCTGACACTGAGAGGACATCATCAGCTCGGGGAAAACTTACACACTGATACGTAATAGCTTGTGAAGAAAAAAAAAGAGAGAAAAGTGAAATTGGTACTATTTAAACTCACCATAACCTCACGCGCAAGTGCGCGCACGCAGGCACAGAATAGGGCCTCATATTACATCTACCTCGTGCCATGAATGCACAGGCCTATAGGCTACACGCAATAATATTTGGAGTCTACGAATCATACAATCAGTTCTCTTTTGGCGCTTCTATAGTTACAATTAGTGCAACTATCTAAAATACTTTTTAAAAATAATGATAGACTATGCAAATTTGTAATGAAGTAATAAATAATAATATTATGTTTTGTCAATGTCATATCCGATGATGATCCGAACAAAAAAATGCTGAATACCGTTGCTATAGTTACCTCCTCTGGCGACTGAGATTGCTGTGGGCCAGCATTATATTTGAATACGCGCACTGATTTACTTCTAAAGCCTGTGTTATACTTTCCGCGTCCGCGATGTCCGCGTCCGGATTGTACGCGCGGAAAGTATAACACATGCTCAAGTTTGAAGCACATACGTATATAACAAAGAATATTCACTTGTGAGACCTTATGCCAGACCTTTTGTTTTGACATTCAATGATACGGCTTCATTAATTAAGGGGGTCAGACCCACCCCAAAACCTTAATTCACACCACACATATTTATATAACATAATCATTAATTATTATTGTCATTATAGCAAGTTTTATTTAATGATCAAGTTCAGATTTTGAAACGACATTTCTTAATTTAAGATTCTGAACATTTCTAAATAATGTTGCCTAATTCTTATTCCTTCACTGTTCTCAATTATTGCTAGCACTTGTGTTTGACTAAAACGAATTCACGTTTAGATTTTACAACGAGGTCACGTCCGATGACGTAGCAAAGCTATCGGCTACGTGCAGCCATATTTAAATACATCAGGGAAATTAGCGCATCAAATATGCAAATCCCCCAACATAGCCTTTCTTTCAGCGGTCAGAGCAATTTCCCCTCATCGGCTTCGAGGTGGCTCTTTTCGTTTTCGGAAGAATATGTAAGTTGCTGTTTTTTATTGAAAGGAAGAACCTATCTTGACCGTGAAACTGGACCATATGCAGCAAAGAAGCGGAGACTCATTGCCAGGGAAGTCGCCCATCATGTATAATGAGACTCCTGCTCCGCCATTCTTACATCTTCACCGCAGTTGGTCCTTGCGTGTGTATTATTTTTAATATTGATGCATATTTAAAAGGTATATTTGAATTTCCTTTGCATTCACGGTGGCTGCGTTGTCTTGATGCCATTTTATTCCATGCGCCTTTGGCTCTTCGCGATGCGGATTTTTATTGCATAGGCTACAGCATTGTCTCCATTATTGTTTAATTTAATCCATGTAAAGAAAGTTAAACAATACTTAACGTTTTTTGTTTCTAATTCCTTCTTTATGATCCGTCAATAGAAATATTATAAAATACCAGTAGATATTCAAAAGCATTATAAGCGAACAAAGACATTTGAGCGGCTCAAACAAAAAGGCACAAAGAGCATTGTGTTACATTAGCATATCATTAAGTTAGAGCATCTCTCATTCAGAAATAGTCGGTTAAAAGATACTACAACTGTAGTTAGCTACTAGACAAAGCAAATATTTGCATACAATTTGAAGTCGTCTACGAACAAAAATGAGTAAAACAAAATTTCTATGCACTTAACAGTTTTAACACATTATTATTAGAGAAAAAAAAATATTTTGTAAATTATGACATAGTAATTCAAAAATGAGCATCACATCTTTAGTTCTCTTTAGCTGTCTTAACCCACATGGACAAATAGTCTGCTAGTAGTCTAAACAAAGAAAAGCTGAAATCATAAGGCAAATGCTTAGAAAATTAATTGACAAACGAAATCTATTGCTCTGAACTTGCCATTGACACAAACATCATCTACTTCAAAACTTACCGCTAAAGTCATAATTAGGCCTAATGTCCACGTCCTATTAATATAATTGCGTTTACTTTCGAGTCCAGACTCTTTTCCAGAACTTTTTGCGCAATCTTAGGCATCTCTTCTGCATAGTTCCTACTCGTAAAGCGTCTGATCTTCATCTTGTGAACCTTTGCTCAACTGATCTGGCACCCAATAGAAGTGGTCAGACGGGCACACGCGTAAAGATTTACTCCCAATGGGTCAACACACGTGCTGTCCTATGCTCGCATGTTTTCCGCATTAAACTTCAGACAGCCCTGCTATATCTCTTTATACGAACAGACGTCAATGAGAAAAACAGGGCTTACTTGGACTCTGCATGTCTTCATCTTGGCGACTTCGTATGGTCCGAAGTTGTGTAGCACATGTGTGATCTGCTGCGCCTGTTTGCAACACAGCAGGACCGCGATTACCATACTTATGCATATTAAAAACCTATAGAGAAAAGGATTTCAAACTTTCCCACAGCTCCTATAAATATAATGGGAGACAATGACTCACCATAACGTCCTGAATTATAATATAAACCATATAAAACTGTTTCTGTATAGCCTAAGTGGAGAATGAATTATATTAGCTATCTTCAAATCTTAATTTATTTTCATGATATTCTTATGTTATTTTGCATTCAATTATAAGCATTTTTTGCCATTGATTGGCCTTCTGGACCAATTAAGTAACCGAATCTATAGTTAGTATAACGTTAATGTAGGGTGCATATTTAGTCATATTTCGACTTCGCGGAGAATGAAAAGTGATTGCAATTTCTGAAGACACCCTTAAAGCCAAATCCAAAAGTGTCTTAATAACTTTGAGCATGTTTTCGAGGCTCATGAAAAAAGACGTTTCAATGAGAGGAATTGGCAATTGTAGGATTTTTGTAGCCTATTCACTGACTCTTTCACACATTTTATAGTCAATAACCGTTAGCCTACACTAGGCTACTTTAGATTAAACGTAAAAAAAACAACTGATTTTTGTTTTTGCGTATCTTGAACAGGATATATTTCCCCCCCCCTAACGTGTCCCTGTAGGCCTATATACTGTTATTAGATTGAAAAGATAATGATTCTTATTATCGATGTAGATAAACAAATACAGTAAAAGGAAAAATATAGGCAACAAATTGTCTTAAATGGTCACTTATTGCATCAAAAAATAGATCTGTAATCCAGCATCTTTAATTACGCGTGTAAATAATGAGAACGAGCCATATGGCTTATTTCTATTTCTACTCTCCTTTATCTCTCTCGTGGTTCTTTTCACAATCATTAATATCACCGCTATAGATATATATCAGATAGGTTATAAAATATATGGAGAGACTTGTTGTTTAAGTGAGTTAAACGTATTATAGAGAGAGAAAGAGGGGTGGAGAGGGAGTGAGAGAGAGGAGGGAGGCTGATTTCCAGGTAATTCAATACAAAGACATTCGTGTTTTCTTTCTATTGTTTAGCTGTGCCGAATAATGCAGTGCACACATACGATTAACAGCGAATTGAGATGAAACGGTGGGTATTTACAAATATTTTATAGTGTTAATAAACTTTAGTTTTTCCTAGGCTAGGCTACGTCTTTATTTTTCCGTGTAGGACACATAGCCTCGTGGCCAGTTCCTCTAAACGCGTAAGACAGAAAAATTTAATTATTAACTCTATTCTAAATGATATTTCAAGCCATTTCTATATATTGCCTCAGCCATTATTAGCTCTCTAGAAATTCATTCGAAGTGAGAAATGACATTTGAGTCACCGTGATGCATTTCTGTAACACGTGGCGACATCTAGTGGTGTCATGCTCTATGGCGCACTCCTGCAGAACCAAATGTAACGATTTATCAGGAGACAAGTGCGATAATTCCACGCGAACATACCATTCATAAATTCATAAAGTAATCTATCATTTTAATTGTATTTGATTATGTATTAGTTTTCTCTCTCTCAAAGCTTCCATTAATATAAATCTACGACTGTCGTCATCTTTCAAAAGCAAACTGATTGACTGACTTCAAAAGCAAATTGTAATCAAATATTGATAAATACATACTAAGCTTTATATTATATAGGAGCCTTGCGTCCCTTTCTATTTTTGTAGACACTTTAGACTGCACACATTTCTATTTTGGCGAAATAAAATCCAGTAGGACACGCACAATATTAGCAGCAACAGTTTTGAAAGCATGTATCTAAATATTGTCTTTATGGTAGATTTCTTTGTTAGTCCGTTATATTTTTGGTCACCCTCAATTATCAGTGATGACTAAGTATTGTCGGTCTTGTTGCAAATTATACCCAGTAGCCTACTGTGCAGTTGACTGTAAAAACACGAGGGAAGAGTCGTTTATATTCTTACTTAAGCCAGAGCCCATACCGAAGTTAGGAAATGTGTTAGGAAGCAAAGAGACATCTCCAAGGTTAATTGTCGCAGCCACTTCTGGCCAATACGCGGGTTACACGCGATATATTATAAATGCGTGCTCAAGATCATGAGCCGTAATGTTTATTGAACGGATTTTTTTTTAACATTGTGATAACCGCTTTCAAGCATATATCCTAGTAGTATTAACGCGCAAGGTTTCATTTAAAAAACCATCTTAAATGCCATGTTAATAAAAAACTTTACAGTTACCATGTTCACTTGATGATTGTCAAAAAATACTTGCATGCCCTCCTTTTCTATAAAGCTTATTGACGAGTAAATGCCTTTGAGATATTACGACGGAAACTTTTTTATTATTGATTTTACTTAGAAAGAAAGAAAGAAAGAAAGAACGAGGGAGAAAGAGAGAAATCATATTTTGGGTCTAAAAATATTCGTCTGGTAATTTTCGATATTCTCCCCAAAATATCCGCAACTAATGTAATAGCCTATTTATCGATGATGATTACATGTAGACTATCTAATGGATGATAAATAAACACCAAATTAATTAAATTAATTATAAATTAAAACAAAATAAATATAAAACAAAATTACTAAAAGCAGCTTAACTTTACTCTAAAGAAACTGCTGTTTTCGCTCATTTTTAGCAGAAAGCTATACCGTCAGAATGAGTTTACTGCAATGATTATAGCTATGCCCATAGGAGCTTTTGATTTGATTGATTTTATCGTGAAAAGTTTCAGTGTTCGATATATTTAATGGTATTTATGACGTTTTACATTTTACAAACTTTTTACAAAATATCTGTTCATTTGTTAATTGTCCATTTGGCTCGCAATTATTAATCGTTATTATAGTGTAGGATCCAAGATTTCAGTTGCACTAAATTTAGACGGCAAATTCATGCAGTGATTCTCTTTCTTTCGTTTGTTGTGTTCATATATAATGTATTTCTGAAAGATTTGTGAAAGTGTAACTCAAAGGAGAGATAATATCTTCTGTGCAACATCGGAAGGAGTGGAAAATAATCTGTTGATTAAACATTGAAATAATCTCTTTGTTGTGACTGTCTTTTTGATCATCACAGGCAAAATACTTACATTTTAGTTTTATATAGGGCAACAAAATATATATTTGAATGATACATATCAAAGTTAGAGAATACTCAGGAGCATCATTTACATACTAGCCTGTAGCCTATGTGACAACTTCATGATGTTCTCAGATCTGGGGAAAAATACAAATGAAATACAAAATTCTCTTTACAGGTGACCAGAATCTATGTGATGAAAGTGGCCTATTTTAAACATTAACATGTTACATTTTATGTACAGGGCAGGCCAATAGCAAATAATGTGAGCAGACAGCTAGAAATAGCTTAAAATGCACTCATCAGTACAAAAACAAATAAAATTCGGCGCATAATACAAATAGCCTACAAAATTGATGTCTAATCAAAGAGTATGAATATGTAGAATTTGTGCAGTATGAATGTATGTTTTAATGCATTTTACAGACATTAGTTCTGTAATCTCAGTCTCACCGTAGAAGCGGGTGAATGAAATAAATGAAGGCAAAAATCTTTTAACCATTGAACAATGGTGACATCTTGTGGCCAGAAGGATTCATTGTCTCTTCAACAGCCTTTACTGTTTCTACAACAACGTAATAATCTTAGGTTTTACATTTTCCTGAAAACCTTTTACATTGTTTATAAAGGCAATTAATAAACCAACGCACAAATTCAAAGGTCGATAGTTTAGACTATAACGCGTACACATTAAATATACCATGTTACTACTGTTAGCCCTAATACCAGCCTACTAATAAATGTTAGCTCTTTGGTTGGAATGTAAGAACAAATATTTGATTAACATTCTGGAGCTAAACATATTTTCAATGGAAACAAGAAGAAACTCCTGCTCAGGGGTTGTTATCTGAGGGATGTTCAGGTGTTGTGAGCGATACTACTTGTATGTTCATCAGAAGAACCTCAGATTAAACATGCACTTCCACAATCCTACCACTTTGGAATAACCATGGCGACCAAACAACATGCAGAAGCAAAGCAAACTCCGAATTTGTTTATAACCGTTTTGAAGCTCTTACTTCCCTCAGAAGAACACAAGAAGCTGTACCGATGTTCAACTGTTTTCTTCCTGTTTATGGTATAGTTGCTTTATTCTACTATGCCTTTTAGGAGGTTTGGCTGTGTAGGATGTTGTTGACAGGTGAGAAATCTCGAATATTTTACACCTTCTAAACTCAAGAAAATGCGCCAAATCCAGCTTCCGGCTCCATATATGGACTGGCCGCTGAGCACGCGACAGAAAAGCGCCTGAAAGCCTTCTGATTGGCTGAACAAACTGAATAGATATTCGTGTTATATCTTGGGAGTAGTTATTTCAATGGTATCTTTTAAGAAACAGGATCCTATTTTACAAAACTGTTCTGAGAGGCTGTAATGTGTGAATGTACGATGAATATGATTTAATATTTCATTCAGTAAGACTAAGTGTTAGTTGACTATCACAGCTTCTGTGGTGCATAGCTACAAACCATGAATGGTAAAGCCTTGTGCATATTTGAAGACATATGATGACCATACTAATAATGTACTGATGCTTCTGCGATTAACCATTTTGAGTGGAAAAAATGTTTGGTTTAGAGATACTGGCTAAATACACGTTCACACAGATATCTTGCAGTCAAGTTGAGGGACAGAACACAATAAAAATCACATCAGGACGTCTGTGTAACTAAGAAAGCCAGTAACTTTACTGAATTCTCTGCAAAATACAAATACCTTTTTTTTAGTCCCAGCAGGAGAAACAATTTTTATTCCATACATTAATTTTTACTACATACAGCTGAATCAAGTCCCTTGAGATACAGAGATGTGGTTTAATTTAATGACATCTTGTCTTCAAGTGGCGACAAAGTCCAGCTTGTGCCGCTGAAAGCCTCTTTCTCCTGGTTAGCTGTAGGTTTATACAAGCTACATTTGTTACTACAGAATTTTTCAGCATTTTTTTTATTTTGTTATTTATATACTTAATGGAAACAACACTCGATAGAGAGAGAGAGAGAGAAACAAAAAAGGTCAACCAAAAAAAAAAAAAAAAAAACAAATAAAAAAAAACGAGAAAGGAAAAAAAGGAAAGGACAAGACGTGTGGCCAAGTATGGTGTCCCATACTTGGAATTTGCGCTCTGCATTTACCCATCCAAGTGCACACACACAGTCGTGAGTAGTGAACACGCACACACAGTGAGCACACACCGGGAACAGTGGGCAGCCATTTTTTGCTGCTGTGCCCAGGGAGCCGTTTTGCCTTTTAGGAGGTTTGGCTGTGTAGGATGTTGTTGACAGGTGAGAAATCTCGAATATTTTACACCTTCTAAACTCAAGAAAATGCGCCAAATCCAGCTTCCGGCTCCATATATGGACTGGCCGCTGAGCACGCGACAGAAAAGCGCCTGAAAGCCTTCTGATTGGCTGAACAAACTGAATAGATATTCGTGTTATATCTTGGGAGTAGTTATTTCAATGGTATCTTTTAAGAAACAGGATCCTATTTTACAAAACTGTTCTGAGAGGCTGTAATGTGTGAATGTACGATGAATATGATTTAATATTTCATTCAGTAAGACTAAGTGTTAGTTGACTATCACAGCTTCTGTGGTGCATAGCTACAAACCATGAATGGTAAAGCCTTGTGCATATTTGAAGACATATGATGACCATACTAATAATGTACTGATGCTTCTGCGATTAACCATTTTGAGTGGAAAAAATGTTTGGTTTAGAGATACTGGCTAAATACACGTTCACACAGATATCTTGCAGTCAAGTTGAGGGACAGAACACAATAAAAATCACATCAGGACGTCTGTGTAACTAAGAAAGCCAGTAACTTTACTGAATTCTCTGCAAAATACAAATACCTTTTTTTTAGTCCCAGCAGGAGAAACAATTTTTATTCCATACATTAATTTTTACTACATACAGCTGAATCAAGTCCCTTGAGATACAGAGATGTGGTTTAATTTAATGACATCTTGTCTTCAAGTGGCGACAAAGTCCAGCTTGTGCCGCTGAAAGCCTCTTTCTCCTGGTTAGCTGTAGGTTTATACAAGCTACATTTGTTACTACAGAATTTTTCAGCATTTTTTTTATTTTGTTATTTATATACTTAATGGAAACAACACTCGATAGAGAGAGAGAGAGAGAAACAAAAAAGGTCAACCAAAAAAAAAAAAAAAAAAATCTATTAAAAAAAAAAAGAGAAAGAAAAATAACCGGAGAGTCATATATGGACAGTTGAAATCTATATAACAAACAATGGCATTTTTCACAATACTGTACACACTTGTTAGTTAGAGGAGAATGTTCCCAATTCTCAACAAGACCGACTGATTGAACGGTAATCTGAGGCACTGGGAGGGTGAGTCAGAGATACCAGCCACTAGCATGAACAACTTGTGAAGAAACACAATGGTCTCAAACCCCAGAAAGGATAATGGATCGGCAAACATAACATCACTTTTTGTCTTTGGTAGAAAAAACAGACTAACATATGTCCTGTCAAAATCACAGAATGCACAATGATAGATATGTATATCAACTGAACAAAACTAGTCACAATCCACTAAATGATGATACAAGCTTACACAAGCAGTCATGAGGTATCTATGACTGTGCTGTCTCATATTATAAAATCTTCAGTGCAATGTCTATTAATGTGACACTGGAAAATGTTGTGAATACTCCAGACCAAAGTGGATACCTTGTGCTTATTAAAAAAGGGGGCATATTTATGAGTGCGACTTAAATTTGAAAGCATCATTCTAAATGCATTTGCCCCTTAAAGACTCAGTCCGGTGAAGGAAAAAAAGAAGGGGAAAAGAAAGACGATTAAACGTGTGCAACTGCACATCCCCACAATGGGGAAAACGTTATGACCATAATTTTTTTATCATATATATTCATATATTAGAAAGCTATACACAAGCATGTTAATTTCACAGATTTTTTTTTAAAAAGATTCTTAATATTATTATTCAATATACTTAGAAATACACGTTTAAAAACAAAACTTCTACAAAGAGAGAGAAAGAGAGAAAAAAAACATTGAGCAAAGCAAGGGTTCACTGTCTTAGATTTCATGGCTTACGGTTTGAAAAGCCCAAGGTTTCTCATCCTTTTACTATCATTTCTCATATAAGCAAAGCTATCAAAACACATTCTGGCTCTTATAAACTACAAAAAGCCACAAAAATGCTTTGCATTGTATTCCTTTTTGATATGAAAATATAAGCAAGTGTATCATACAATTTTTTTTTCTCTTTTTCTTCTTTTAATACTGAACAACAACTGCAAATCCTAGGTTAAAATGTCATCAGACTGAAGTAACATGGCTCTTAATTTAAAGTCCTTCATCTCCGTCCTACTATTTTCTTTCCTTCAGGAGGAGTTTTTTTTTTCTTCCTGAAATTCCCACTCCCCCATAACTTAACCAAAGAACCTGCACATATATCTGTACAATCCTTCGAAATTCTTGCATAACAGTTATGTTTGTGTGAAATCAGCAACCTTGACCCTTCCCCCATGTCCCAGCCTTTTCTCTATGTACAATACGTTGAACCTGCAACATGACATTGTCACCCATAACATACATTTAGCAAAGGGGCCCTCTGAAGAGAGTGGCACTAAAAAAGGAATCTGTACATATTGTACTGGTACAACAACCCAAGTGCTAAGCTGTCACCTCCGTGATATGCTCTCTGCTGTGCTCCTCTTGTGGCTGAACATCACTGAGGCATGTACTTTACAAAAAAAAAAAAAAGAAGAAGAGGATCCAAGAGGTTCTACCTACCAGTACCATATGAGGTGGAAATGGCTGATGGGTAGCCGCCCATTCCCTGTCCTGGTAGAGTAGGCGTCGCTACAGAAACCACGGGGGTCGCCAGTGACTGCGCGGACTGAGAGTTGTTTATTCTCTGATTCTATAAGAAGAGGAAGAGAGCAGAGGAACACATATAGATGACTTGTCACG